AACCGCATCTGAACCTGAACAGGCTGCACTCAGCCTTCACTGCTGCCTCCTAGTGGAGGCCTGCAGCATCTGCACTACAACTGAGGCACAGCTCCACCTACCGGCCAAACTGGGTCAGGGTTCCAGGAGGGAAATAAGCCGTGTAGCAGCCTCCAGAGTACTCCTCCTCACACCAGTTCTTCTCCTCGTAGTGCACCGGCTGAAAGACAGCAGAGGCCATGAGAAGCAGTGCTGCTGCTGAAGCTGCTGAAGCTGCTGAAGCTGCTGAAGCTGCTGAAGCTGCTCAGCTCTCTGGGTGCTGACTCACATGGAGAGCCTCCTGGGAGCCCAGAACTCTGGAGTAGATCTCACAGATCCTCTTCAGCCTGAACAAAGCAACACAAAAGTTGACACCAAAGCCGCTGGCGGCAGGTTAGAGTGAATTTAACCCGCTGTGGCTGGTTGCCGTGGTTTTTCTAACCTCTCCTCTTTGGTCAGACCTGCCAGCTTCCTGCACTTCCGGGCCAGGATGAATCTGCAGGGAGAGAAAGGAGTAAATGTCCAACCTCTTTTAACGGTTTTAATTAATAGCAGCACTTTATGCTTATTGTTTATTTCAACAACTAATATTCAGTTATAGTTTTTTTATTCTGAATGCCTGGAAAATAGAGCGTGAATTAAAGGAAGATTTCTTTCCTTTTCTTTTTTTTACAGTGTCCTGTCTGACGATGTGGCAATAAGAATAATAGTCTTGGTGCCAAAAAGAGCCCAACAGGTTTTACTTTCACAGGTGGAGCAGTACGGCTATCGCCATAGTGTTCCACTGGATTTATGCGTATAAATATCTTTATTATAATTATGCAGGGAGTTTAACAGATTATATGGACACTGCAATGTAGGTAGAACAGAAGAGGAAAAACTGGAAAAAGATAAGAAAAGATGAAAGAAGGAGGAGATAAAGTTTAGTAAAGTTTATTCAAAGATTAAATGCTCAATAGTGGTTGTGGAGAGCTGAAGAGGCGCCCCGCCATCGGCAGGCCACCCAGGCCCCACAGCCGCCCCCCGCCAAGACCACGGACCAGGCGGCTCTTCCTCCAGGCCCCAGACTCCGGGCGGCAGCCGGGGAACAGGGGTGTGAGAAAGACCCCTCCCTGCGGCTGCTCCAATGGGGTGTTGTT